AGAGAGCGATAGAAGATGGCGCCGATACGAAAGTCTAGTTGACAGCCAACCCAAGCAGACGTCAGCCAACAGTGAGAGACGTCATCACAGATTTTGATTCACGGCCTTTGCACAGACGGCGCATTTATTGAAACCTTCCCGTCACAGAGACCCAAGGCAACAACAGCAACTACAATGAAGTTGCAACTTTGCTGCTTTTGCATAAAATATTGAGATTCCATGTTAAGTGGTACTTAATGCAAATACGATCAAAGGTCGCCGCAGGGGTTGCCTCGACAGGTTAGCCACAGCCAAGTTAAGATGAGCTTAGAGCGAGATTTCCCCTTTTTGTTTTTCGAAATTTCCATTGAACACTAATGTGAACGCAGAGTGCAAGAGTGTGGGCATGGCTAGACAGTCAACCAAATCAAACTTGGATTGTCTTGAATATCAAATAGGAATAGAATGGGATTTATCGCAGTGTATTGCAGAAATGCATGCGCTGCGACGTAGCGGCGACTGGGTCAGCTCGATGACCTGCAGTCGAGCAAGTCAACCGATACAACTTTCGCATGTAGCTGGCAAATGAAAACAAGACTTTGAACCCTCTTTAACTTCAAACATGCAAAAACTGCAGGCTGTCTACTGCATGCACATGGCCAAAGCACACGCACGCACACAAAGAGACACTCGAATAACACATGAGCAGCTGCTGCAACTAGAAAACTGAATCAGAAACTGAATCCCGTTTGCTGTGCGGCGGCTGTGGCAAATGTGTTTGCATTTCAGGTGTCAACAGCAAAAACACATTCAGCTTTGTTGCAATAACAATAACAATAACACAGCAACACAAACAACAATAACAACAACAACAACAACAAAACAAAGAAGCAAAATCCTCTGCCAGCATTTTCAATACAATGAAAACATTTTACTTTGCAGCAGCAGCCAAACGAATTCGTCCAGCTCGAGAATTTTTGGACACAAAACAAAATGGCAGCCAAACCAGCTGAGCTCGATGGGCGAGAGGAGAGCTAAGTAGGGAGGCGGCAGGTTAGGGGCAACATGCTAGATGTGAGCTGAAAGCTGATGCTGAAGAAATCAATGTGCGAAAACGTAGAAAACTTGTTTCAGCAGCAAACAAGATGAACAGTTTATAGGAAATACTTTAAAAGAGAAACACCAAAGAATTCGGTGTTAAATTTATCATAATATTAATTTGGATGTTGATTAAATGTTGTATTATTATTATGTTGTATTATTATTAGTATTATTCATTTGCATAATTAAATTAAGCTCTCTTTCCAGCTTTCTCGCTGTCTGCTTTCTTCTTTCTATTTTTCCCTGTCACTCTCCCTCTCTCTGTCACTCTTTTTCATTTGCTCGTTATCTCTATGCCTGTCTCCCTCTCTCTCTCTCACTGACCCATTACTCTATATATTTCTCTCACTCTCTCTCTCGCTCTAACTCTATTCTTCTATTATTTTCGCTGTCTACGCGTCCCTCTATTGGCCAAACGTTTCCTACTTTGTCTGTATTTTACTTCCTCTCTCAATTTCTCTCTGTCGCTCTATCCTTCTCTCTTTCTCTCCTTTGTCCTGCTTTCTGAGGACTTAATAATCGCTTTAAGAATCATCGTTAAATCAGCTCAATTTTAAATCTGTTTTTATCTTTGACAAATTTTCGGCAAATATCAAATCAAATATTTTTGTTTGTGTAAATTGAATTTGGCTGAAATCATTGCGATTTGCACTCAGGTATCTATTGCTGTTGTTGCTGTACTTTTTATATATTTTGCTATCTCAAGTACCTGAAGAGACCTTTTGCACAAACACAGAGGACACTTCCTTAGCTTCAGGTTCAGCTGCGCTTTATCTACGACTCGATTTTCCGAGCGTTTAAACACCAGCAACAGCAACGACAACAACAACAACAACAACTGAGAGACGGCAAGTAAACAAAAGTCAGAGACAGAGTTGGAGTTGGCGTTGAGAAGTGTTTAGGGCTGCGTCCTTGCTATGCAGTCCAGTCCCTACTAAATGATGCTCGAGGGCAACGACTAGGAATTGTTGCCGATGCTCAAAAGTCAAAAGGCTACGCCTGGCAGCAACTAACTGACTTTGGCTTTCAGGTATAATTAATCTTGTTTAGTCCTCGCCGCTGCTGCTGTTGTTGTTGTTGTCTGTCACCCGATGCTTCTGTTTGTTTGTCTTTTCGGCTGCTCCTTGAAAAGCGTAGGACGCTATCTAATGTATTTAGAACGAGTTTAATTTGCTCGGCAACACATTTTTCTTGCGACCTGACCAAACTGCCCCAAAGGCTCTCTCTCTCTCTGCCGGCCGCCTTCGTTCTGCTGGCCAGGTTAACTATTAATTCTGGCCCCTGAGCAAGATTAACGAGTGCATGATTGCCTCAAATTGTCTGCCCATCCAACTAAACCCCCAGCATCCTCATCAACCTCATCACCCACTCGCCCACTACAGTTAATAGCAAAAATTCGTTGCATACTTCAAGGCGTTTTGGTCGCACAGCACCAAATTTATTTTCGCCCATTGCAATTTTTGTCGCCATTTTGGCAGCTGCTTTTAGCTGTTTTTCTCGATTCTTTTAGCTTGTTTCTTATTGCTCGCTTAATTGTAATTAATTTAGCTGCATGCCACAGCTGTGTGGCATGCTTTTGCCTTTACTTTGTTTATCTATTTATATATCTATAAATATATCTATATCTATATCTATATCTATATCTATATCTATATTTATATCTATATCTATATCTGTATAAGTTTCTGTTGATTAAGTTTGAATTTCTATTTTTGGAATGTTAATTTGTTGCTCAAACTGCAAACACTTAAAACAAATGGCATCTAGATGTAGATGGGAGCAACTTCAATTGCCTGTTTTTAGTTTACCCAGCTCTAGTCTCCCACTGCACAGCTATACCCGGTACATACAACTCCATTACATTTACCACACACACACACACACACATAGATCACTTTTGCGTATACGCATTGGCAGACCAAAGCCCCAACGGCAATGGGGCATGCTCATCAAGGGTAACAACTGGGACCAGGTAGCAGCCAGGTAGCTGCTGCTTGCTACCTGCTAACTGCTGCCAGATAGCTCGTCCAGCCCAAAGTGCGTCAAAACTAATGGCCACTGACAACAAAGTAAATGAAGCATGGCTGCAGGCGAAGGGGCCTCACAGCGGGGGGCATAGGATGGGCTGGCAGTCAAAGTGCAGCAAACAGGATGAAAAGCTCCACTGACGACACACAGAGTGCTGGGCAGGACAGCGTTTGCTGGGGCAATCTATGAAGTTAAATGAGTGAAAATCAGGAAAATGCATTAATGAATGAATGACAGCAGGCGCTGTCAGCAGCACTGGCACGATAAGGACATTGACGAGTTACGTGCAGCCCAAACTGCTCCCTCGCCCGTTACTGCAGACCAGCCTGAGCCCAGCCTCTGGCAATTCCCCATGGGGAAGCTTTGTGCTTGTACGTGAGTGAATGATCGAGTGTGTGTGTGTGTGTGTATGTGTGTGCTTGACGGGCAGCTGGTCAAGTCGGGATTTGTACAGCTTGTACCATGTTGATGCTGCTGCTGTCGACTGCGCTGATGTTGCCTCGTTGAATGTCTTATTTATGAATGCAAAAGCGTTTGGTTGGGTTTGGCTGCTGGACCTGGATTTGGGCATGTACTACACCAGATATGATAACCGACGTTCAACACGCGCCACTCGAGTATCGAGCCAGGTTATGTGCACACACTCACACTTGCCTGTGTTGGCTGCTGTAAGAGCCAAATGTCCAAACAGTTACAATATTTTCAGTATAGGCTTTGGTCTAGCTGAAAACTCAGCTACAGTACCTGATTATAATAGCGCATCGAGTGAATTTCAAGGCGCAAGAGATTAAGTTCTTATTTGCTATGGATATCATTTCTCTAACTGCAAAAAAAAGCTGAAAATTGCACAAAGAACAAAAGAACAGCCGCCATTGCTATATCTTGGAATAAGCAACAAAAACAACAGTTAGCAGAGCAAGATATTGCTTTTTATTTTCATCAGAAATAACTGTACATCAGCTGGTTATAGCATATATAACAAATAAGTGGGAAGAGAGCAGCGACACCAGTGAGAGAGGGAAAGAGACAGATATATGCAAACAAATTAGTTTCGTTGCTATAGTCTGTTCATTTCATGAAAGATAACTGTACCAAACGAAAGAGTGGCGCCATTACAACGACTAGGAACACTACAAAGCTGACCTATAATAATTATATAAATAAGAAGAGAGCAGTTGCAGAAGGGAGAATTATGCTTCACATGAAGCCCAACATATTCATTCAAGTAAAAGAGAGACAGACATATATCAATAAGAAATGAAATATACAAAACACATGCATATATACATTTATACAAATTTTGAATGAACACAATTTCAAGGCTTAAGGCATACAAAAACGATATAAATATAATTTTGTTTAAGTTGAAATGCATTATATAAATATAAAATATTATAGAGTAAGCATGTTATATAAATTAATATTTTTTTGCAGTTTTCTTTGCGAACTCATTTAAATATGTGTGAAAAAAGCCATAGACATATTTCAAGGTTAAAACGTTTCAAGGCTTAAAACGTTAAGTATTCAAGGTAATATTTATAATTATATCCATAACTGTATCCAAATGAAAGAATTATGTATGCAAATTTGATTACATTGAAAAAAATATGCAACATCTGTCTAAGATTGCATTAATTTTAAGCCCATATCAAATTGTTGACCTTTTCAACAATTTTCACACTTATTAATGCTTTAAAAAGGAACAGACTCAAATGTTAATGCTATGGACCTCCATACAAATTCAAATGAAATATGGAATTGTTGCTATGCAACATTCATTTATTTGGTCAGCTTAAAAATTGTTCAATTTACTCTGTCTGCTTGCACTTCGTCAACGAGTCTAAATACAATATATAACCCCCTATTACCACCCAAAATCGAAAAATTGTATATCTTAGAGTCTTGGGCATTGCTTTATGTATGAGATTTAAACGTTTTTAGGTACATTTTTCTACGAAAGAAATGCTGGAATACATTGTTTATCAAACAAATTGTGAAAAGCTGGTTGTATAACGCCTTTAACCCTTTCGATCAAAGCCTCCACGCACTGCTTGTTTCCAACGAACTTTTGAAGGAATTGGTAGGCGATCAAAACCGTATATTCCGCATCCAGATCCTTGGTCTTCTGCGGAACGAAGTTAATACACTGTATTGATTCCTTCAGTATAGGTATAGCCTGGGTAGAGAGGGAAGTAACTCCTTCAACCGCAACCTGTGCACAATAGAATAATCCATTGAGACTAAGTCCGTTTACACTGGGACCCAAGAGCTAGATGAAAAGATGGCAGTTAGAATATCTTCTTGTCAGGTTTAGTTAGTCAGTCATGCTTACCAGGAGAGAACCCAGCAGTAGGAAGGCCTTTGTGATCTGCATTTCGATTTAGACTATGCTGTGGATTGCCTTGATGGCGCCTTTTATAAGGAAACTCGAATCAATTCGACTTGCTGAATGGTTGCTGACATAACACCTTCAATTATAACTAAGCCAGCATAGCAAATTCAATTTAAACAACCTGCTTATAAAAGAAGCAATGCGAGCTAATCTAGAATCTAGTAACACTTGAAATGCAGATCATAAAAGGTGTCTTCTTGTTGTGCTGTCTCCTGGTAAGCCATCACTCTCGCTGACTAACCTCTCTACTGACTAACCTCTCACTCCGACTCTTACCTATAGATGGTGGGAGACATCCATGTCAATGCAGCTGGACTCGATATCTTCAAGGCATTCGACTGCGCTGACATTGCCCTCGAGGGTGTCGGCTACATTGCCGTGAGATCCGTAGCTCTGATCAGGGAGCTGGCCAAATGCGTTAACTTCCTGCCCGATGAAAACTCCGATCTGGACCCCAACGGTTTCCTACAGATTGTCGACGATTTCCTCAAAGAAGTCACAGGCAACCCCAAGTGCATGCTGGCTTCGCTGAGCACAGTTAAGAACTATGCCGAGCCCTTTGTGAAAAAATTCTCTAATAGGAAATGCTTGCCCAGTGTCTAGACCCAATAAGAATTTGCATTAAAGTTGTACAATGATTCAATAAAGCACTTCTAAATATTCTCATTACTTAATTGTTTGTAATATCTAGAAACTATGCTACAGAAGATTATTTTTTGTACATTTCATGTTTTTACCTTCAGAATTCCGCCTTCATGGATGAAATCTACAATTCAGGAAGACAGTCCATTCAGATGAAAATGAAAAAAGATGATAACTCGAACTCAACTAGGCACTTGCTGGAAAGTTAAAAACCGATTAAAAAAACGGATGAATTTAAACATCACATAGATCAGGGAACCAACACTGACCTGATGCCGTAACGCATTTGCCAGCGCGTGGCTCCACAGAAGAAATATGAAGAGATGCAGAGAGTAAAGTAGAAGGCTTAAAGCAGAAAACAGTTTGCACCTCACACAAGAGCAATTGATGAGCCAATGCTGAAGGTAATTAACAATATCAGTGCTTTATTGTACGACTTTAATGTGACTTGTAATTGGGTCTAGATACTGGGCAAGCATTTCCTATTAGAGAATTTTTTCACAAAGGGCTCGGCATAGTTCTTAACTGTGCTCAGCGAAGTCAGCATGCACTTGGGGTTGCCTGTGACTTTTTTGAGGAAATCGTCGACAATCTGTAGGAAGCCGTTGGGGTCCAGATCGACGTTTTCATCGGGCGTGAAGTTTACGCATTTGGCCAGCTCCCTGATCAGAGGTACGGACCTCACAGCAATGTAGCCGACACCATCGATGGCAATGTCAGCGCAGTCGAATGCCTTGAAGATATCGAGTCCAGCTGCATTGACATGGATATCTCCCACCATCTATAGGTAAGAGTCGGAGTGAGAGGTTAGTCAGTAGAGAGGTTAGTCAGCGAGAGTGATGGCTTACCAGGAGACAGCACAACAAGAAGACACCTTTTATGATCTGCATTGCAAGTGTTACTAGATTCTAGATTAGCTCGCATTGCTTCTTTTATAAGCAGGTTGTTTAAATTGAATTCGCTATGCTGGCTCAGTTATAATTGAAGGTGTTATGTCAGCAACCATTCAGCAAGTCGAATTGATTCGAGTTTCCTTGTAAAAGGCGCCATCAAGGCAATAGCATAGTCTAAATCCAAATGCAGATCCCAAAGGCCATCCTAGTGCTGAGCTGTCTCCTGGTAAGCATGTCTGACTGAGTAAATATGACAGGAATATATCCTGATTCCCATCTTTTTGTCTAGCTCTTGGGTCGTAATGCAGATGGATATAGTCTCAATTTAATGTTTGATTGTACCCAGAGAGCTGTTGAGTTAGGCGCTTCGCTTGCTACCAGGATTATTCCTGAGCTGAAAGATGCGGCGAGCTGTATCAACTTCTTTTCGCAGCAGACAAAGGATCTGGATGCAGAAAATGTGATCCTGCTTTTCTACCAATTTACAAAAGAATTATTTGAAAACAAAAAGTGCTTGGATGAATTGCTTAAAAGCTTCGAAGACGTTATAAAACCAGCTTTGCAAGATTTGTATGACAATCAATGCATACCAGAAGAACTTGTAGATTAATAATATTTTCGCAAAGTATAGAAATTTGTATAAACTATTTGAAGCGCAGCCTTGCATCTTAGATTTAATGTGGAAATTTGTGGTTAATTTGCAATTATTTCCGAATTCGTTAGGTTCTCAATTAGTGCTGCAGCTTGTTTACTGTTGCACATATGTTCAGCGTTGCAACGTCGAGCCTTACATGACCCCAACGCCGAAAAACCCACTTCGTGTTCAACAACTCATTTGCACCACAGTTGGTTTTCCAATTGCGTTGACCCTAACCTCACTTTATGCTGCTCCACTCGAATGCGAATTGCCTGCCGGCCCCTCCCACCGCCCCGGCCCATTGAGTGAGCCGCCGTCGCCCGCAGTGCAGCAAACATTTTTCGCCTATGAAAACGTTGTCGCATATTAACGTAATTAGTTCATGCGCCCCATAGAACTTGCCCGACTGCAACTGGCCGAGGCGGGCGAGTGGGGAGTGGGAGGTGTGTGGCTAACGGGGTGTCTATAGCTGAAAACTCCAACTGCAGGCCGAGGGGCATTCCAGTTCTATGGGTTTTGTAGCATAGCCAGACAGAGTTTTGGCTTGTGCCCGGCCGGCTGCTGTTGTTTTTGCGGTATTTGGGAATTGTGGCCGGAATTATGATGTCCAGGACCAGCCGACGTTCAGCCCATTAAGCCAAGTGAATGAGGCGCAAGAGCAGGCGCCGGCGTAGCTGGTGGGGCGCGGCAACTGTGCGTGCGTGTTTTACATATGAATATGGCCGGCAGTTGGAAACGTGTGTAGACTGGACCGTGTGTGTTAATTGAAACGTGATTGTGTTGAAGGCGGCACAGTAACTGCTGTGACTCGAAAATGGGGCCAGTCCCAATTTTCTTGCTGCTTTTTTTGTGCCCTGCCAGTGGAGAGAAATGGAGGCCTGACACCAGCAAATTGCAATTGTCAACGGGCAAATGAATGTTGTTAGCTTTAAGCAGCATTAAAAGTAAGAAAATAACTAGTTGAGGCTTTAAATGCTGTGCGTGGGCTTTGGGGAATTCAATTTGCACGCACGCACAATTGAATTTGAATGCGAAATGGCTTCGATATCGAATGCATTATTAATTTCCAACAGAAACACACACACACACACGGCTAGTTGTCCTTTGCTGTCCTTTTGGCTGTGCATACGTACATTCATCCTTTCACACACACTAACGGAAATATGGTTTTTCACTTTCGCACAAACGACATCGATATTGATATTGATATTGATGACGATTCCGGTCTTTGCAAAAGAGAATTTCAAATGCACTTTTAATGTGATTAAGTTTAGGTCTTAAGTCGGCATTAGGGCCTGGCCAACAACCGCACACACACGCACTCACATTTTGAGTTTCTAATTTCTTATCTGAGCAAAAACTATCCGAATGTCGCCCAGGTATTAAGTGTGATGGGCCATAAATGCAAGCCACTAGAGAGAACTAAGTGCTTCACAGTTCACAATAGCTAAATTTAATAGACTAGTTTCAAAAAATATTTAAAAAAGAAGATCTAACAAGAAGTATAAAATAGTTGAATTTAATTATAAAATATTATGTCACCAGCTTGAATTCTCTTAAAAACTAGTTACACTGAAAGTTTAATAAAAGAATTTTGTTATGTGAAATTTTACCTCTTAAGTTACATAAAACAGAGCTATTTTATGATAAAGTATCTTATGGAATATGAACATCTTGAAGCTGAATACTTTACCAGAGATCACTCTGGAACTGCTAATCTTAGTATGATCTGAAAGCAGTATCAAGAATTAAGATATCTATAACTATATATATAATCCAAATATTCAGTTATCCAGAAATCCAAACATCCATGATCCAGATATCTAGAATAGAGATATCCAGAAAGTAGATATTTTGTTATCCAGATATTCAGACATCTACAATCCAGATATCCGGAGTCTAGAAATCCAAAATTTAGTTATACAGAATCCAGATATTCAGAATTTAGATATAGAAAATCTATATATTCAGTTATCCAGATATCCAGACAACTTAAATCAGGATATCCGGATTCCAGGCATCAAGAATTCATATATCCAGATATTCAATTATCCAGATACCCGATATCCAGATATGCAGAATCCATATGTCCTGTTATCCAGATGTTCAGGCATCTAGAATATTCAGAATTTAGATATCCAGAATCTAGATTTTCAGTTATCCAGATGAGCAATCATCCATCCAGATTTTCAGAATTCAGATATTCAGAATTCGGATATCCAGAATACATATATCTGAAATACAGAATTCATACATCCAAATATTCGGATATCCTGAATCCAGATAAGCAGAGTCCGTAACCATATTTTCTGAAGACTTCGTTTGTAAGAAACCCTCGCCTATTCCTTGCCTAAAGATTTTTCTTAAGGGACATTTCATCTATAAATTATAGATATTCCGTAGTTAAAAGATCATACATATGAAAGATATTTCCAATAAGTAAAACAGCAAAATCCAATTGGAAATACCTTAAGAAATAGTATTGAACGCAAAATCTAAACGGCACTGTGAAAACCAACCAATTTTAGTCTTCATCAAACCAGAACTAATCTCTAGTAAAAATTCCAATTCTAAGCTATACAAAAATTAGTTATTGAAAGCATTTTAATTTCTAATTCTTGTTATTTATGGCTCTTCTGTTGCATAGCCAAGTTAGTCACGATTATTTCATTGTGGATCATCTATTACTTACTCACAGTATGGCAAGAAGTTGGATTTGCATATTCGATAGATATAATATTATTATGACGAAAAAGCAATACAAATCGATAGATGAGTTTATTTTGGTTTTTGCACTGGGCCATCGAGGACATCAATCAACTGAGGAGACAATGTGGTGTTAGAAGTCCAACTGGCAATAAGGCCTAAAAGCCAAAATCCATTTGCTTACCAAGTGCTTTGGACACTTTCGACTTGACACGAATGTCACAAAATTGAGATTATGTCATTTGTTTAGTTTGTTGCCTCAATTATTCAGTAGCCAAAAAGGCAGCATCATAAACAATTTGTGTGTGTGTGAGTGTGTGCGTGTGCGTGTGTGTATGTGTAAGTGTATGTTCTTACGGGTCCTTGTGGTGTCTGCGCAATTACATAAATTTTGTGTGACAATTTCGATTTGTATTTTCTTTTATTTAAATTATGCCTTCGGGTGCTCTGACTCAGGCAGCAGGGCAGTTAGAAAATGTGTGTAGCCCAGCCAATTGTAATATAATATTTATTACCACACACGCTTCATACACACACAAACTCACACACAGTGACAGAAGCAGACGGTGTTGTGGTAATTAATTTCAATATGCTCACAATTTTCCATTTGCATATTTATTTGAAAGTTGGCATAATTATATTTATGTGGCAGCTGCTGTTAAATTTTGGCCTGAGTCTTATGTCCGGGCTAATTGATGGACAATATGTGAAATCAAATGAAATTGTGATGCGATTTCTTGCTGCAGTCGCTGTTTGCCAATTAAAGAGCTTGAGGACACAGATTGCCAAGTGCTAAACTTGGCCAGGTCGAAACCACAGCAAAATCAATTGCCTGTCTCAGCTAGCCACACATCTGTGTGACTGCATGTGTGTGTGTGTCGGCTGGCTCATGCAAAATTTAATTTTAATTTCAGCTAAGCAAATGTTGCGAAAGTGAGAACAGGCAATTTCCTTGGCTTTACAAAAGTCAAAACAAAAAGCACTAGCCACGCCCTCACTGGCCGCCCCAGTCGTTTGACTATGTATATATCCTGTGCAACAGCAGCAAGACGAACAAGAAGCTGCGAGCACACATTTTAACCACTTGACTGCATTGTGGCTAAAATGGCAGCAAGAAGTCAAAGTCACCGCCCGAAGTCAGCGTCGCTCAGCTGTGTGCCACGTCCCCGGTGCCTGCCGCCCACATCGTCTGGCAGCACTAGTGCTTTTGCCAATTGACATGCAGACCTGCCTGGCAGCCGTAAATCTGCATAAATAATTCATTATTGCCGCCTCGTTGCGCATAAATCAAGTCAGCCGGTCCAAAGCCAAAACCAGAAACACTGAGGTCACATGGAACAGTTGACTGGTAGGTCTAACTTCAACCTTAGCTAGCATGTAAGAGCCTTGACAAGGTCTGACTCAAGCGAAAACACACATACACACAAAATGATAAAATAATAAATATCCAAAAAGGTAATTGGAGATGCCGGGGATTGAACCCGGGGCCTCTCACATGCAAAGCGAGCGCTCTACCACTGAGCTACATCCCCATGTTGAAAGTGCTCAGCCAAATATCAATAAGTAGCACAGCATGCAGAGCAATGTATTGCAAAGAAGTAGCTGTTTGTATGTGTTATTGTAGTTTTGAGTATCGTGCAATTTTTACAGTATAACAAAGTTGTGTGAAAATATAAATAAACAAAAATATTGCAAAAGAAAATGTTTAATGATTCACTGAACTTACTATTTTTAAGAAAAGATAACAGTTAAAAAATCATCAAATCAAATAACTTCAAATGCTTATTTGTATTCTTTCCACGTTTCAAGTTAATGCGCATGCCTCTTTACCATTCATCGGCATTTAGCTTACATTGCTGATTATGCCGCCGTTTGTTCAAAGGGGATGTAGCTCAGTGGTAGAGCGCTCGCTTTGCATGTGAGAGGCCCCGGGTTCAATCCCCGGCATCTCCAATTACATTTTTTGTTATTTTTTTTAATTATTTAAAAAAAACTACATACACAAAATGCTCTTTGAACATTTTTTCAGCTGATATTTTTGCTGTGCCCGGTTGTAAGCGATTGAATCGTTTCAGGTGAATGGCCCCGTTACTCGCCCCGTTCTCTCTTTTAGAGGGGTTTGCTGTATTGCTCTGCTAAACTGTGCACGATCGAGTATTTTGAGTATAAAATTATTCCGATTTGAGATCACAATCGATCGCATTTTTGCTTCTTCATTCGTAAAATCGATAAAGTGATCCATGCGGCTAACAGGTGCACAGCAATGTTAAACAAGAAAATTATTCAGCAGCGCTTCTTCGTTTCTTGCATTATAGCTGTAGCTGTGGCTATTTCTATACGCCCGCATGATCGTTTCAAAATACAAAAACTGTAAAATGCACCGCGCCATGTATCAGAGAGAGATGGAAAGAGAGCGGCTGCCGCATTAGATAAGCAAGTAGCCAGTAGTCAAAGCGAGACGAAGCGACGCCAAGAATCGCAGCCAGCGAAGCAATATAAATGAATGTGCGAGCGTGTGCGTACATGTTTACTCGAGCGTGCGTGTGTGTGTGAGGGTTGACGTCGCTCTCTTATGATTTTCTACGTTTTTGTTGCTGCCCATTGAATTGAATGCGTCAGTTCCGCGTACTGTCAGCGCTGTGCGCCTGGCACTTTACTTAAATGATTGAACGATTTTTGCACGGTTTTTGAAATTAAAGTTCATTTCGGTTCCATTCTCGTTCCCTTTTCCAACGGCCCAGGCCCAGGGAAAAGACACAAGTTTCCGATCTCTTATGACTAGCAGCCATTGGTCGATCGATCCAAAAGAAGACGTCGACGCGCTGCGAGCAATGATGGCGTATGTACTCTACAAGCAGGTTGTATATATACATATATGCTTAGCTAATTGCTGATCTTATATGATCAAGTTAAGAGAATTTTCATTTGATTGACGTTGGGCATTTTGTTTTGTATTTTTACTGCGAGCTAAGGCAACTTTTTTCTTGAAACTTTTCTTTTTCGTTACTTTATTTTTAGATTTAGTTTCAGATTTACGCTTTGATATATATGTATATATATATATATGTAACTAGGTTGGCCTTGCATACTAATTTGAAGAGAAAATGCTCAGGTATTTTGCTTAATCCCTAGCATTTGCCAGAGCTGCGACCTAGCTGCTTGCCTTCCAGCAGGAACCAGTAGGAATTCATTTCGCGCAAATTTCTTATAAATATGCATGCAAACAAAATGGCTGCCAGCTGTTCAAGTAGTGGAGATAAATACAGGTGCGTCCAGCTGGCAGCAGCCCTGACAGGACCTTAATTAAATGTTAAGTGTAAACTTTAAATGCAATTGGCAATGCAATTTGTGCACAAAACTCTGACTTCCACTTTGCCGGCTTGTTAATTATAAGCAATTTCATAAGTTAATTTGTGCACAGAGAAGGCGAGGAGCCGACAGAAAGAGAGGGTGCGGGAGAGCGAAAGAGACAGTCATATGTGAAGTGCACAACAAATTTTTGCTTAAATTTCATTACGCCATAAGCAAATATTCTGCCCAGCTGCAGTCCCGCTTCTGCCGCCATTCCTGCCTTAGTTTGTTTGTTTGCCAACTTTTACGAAACTAATTAAAACGATAAGAGCGAGCGAACGAACGCACGAACGAACCACTCGCCGTTGCCTGCACCGCCGAGCTGCGGCCCAAGGAGTTCGCGATTGCGGGTCCACCAGTCAGCCTTCTAGTACTTTTGAGTATTATTTGATCATTATCTATCTTCACTCTGCTGCATGACTACATTTCGTACATTCGTATTGGATGGCTTTTGTTGTTGCCTACATACGGCAAATGCCAGTTGTAGGTGTGAGCATGCGGGCGGGCTGGCAATGATAACCGAGTCCGAGCCTGAGCCTGGACCTGGGCCTGTGCTGCTGCTTCAGTGGTCATACGGAAATTAAATAAATTCCATAAGCTGACCAGCTACCCCGATCAATCATGGCCATGGCACACGTCAGCAACCACTCAAAATGCCAACTGTCAACTGTCAACACTGCAAAAAGTACAGTTGCCGACAAAAGGTGCGTGTGGGACCACGAAGGAGCTCAAAATGTTGCGGGAGAAATGAAATGAAATCTATGTAAAAGTATGTTTTGCTATATTTATTATTATTTTTCATTTATTTAGTATTTTTTATTTATAGTTTTTTTTTGTTAGTTTGGCATTTTTAAAAGTTTTTAATTCTTTAAAAACAATATTCCTTTTTTAAGGTACCTAAAAGTATGTTATAATCATCTTTTATTTATTATTCATTTACAAAATATTTTTTTAACAAGTCGAAATTTATATTAATATATATTTTAAATATGTATTTTATATTTTAGAATCTCTTATTTCTTTTAAATTAAGTAAGCAATTATGTCAAAACACTTTAATCCGTTATAACTCGATTCCTTAAAATTTGTCGCCTGTCTATTGTCTTCAAATTGTATTTGTATGGACTTTGTTTTCCAGGAATCGCATTGGCCTGGTCAAAAAATGTCGACAGCATATGCAGCGGCACGTTCCCTGCGCCTCCAGCATCCGCCACCCACTCATCCCATCTCCATGCAAAACTCATATGCATTCATACTTCGTGAATCCTTCAAACAAATTGATATGCCATACAGATGAAGCAGTCAGCTGGAAACAGCGTTGGCTACTGCTGATAAGCGGGTCTCAGCTCGGCACAGACAATGGGCATTAACGCACGAGAGCGAGAGTGAAAGCAAGTGCATGAGTTATCAATTTAATTGAGAGCACTGAGCGCATGGCATGGGAAATACAACAAACATACGTATGCCTGTGGTACGCTGATAGGCTCACCTAAAAGTATGCTTCATGTGTGTGTGTGTGTGTGCATGTGTGTCTGCCAGCAACAGCTGTTTCCAGTTCTCTCCCTTCTTCACACACTCTACTTCCAGTTCCAGTGTTACGCTCTCATTTCAAGTTTTAAGCTAGTGGTGAGCGTCACTGAGATCTAATGATTGCAGAATCACCTGAAAACAAAATCACTTTCAATTCATTAAATTTGTGAAACAAAGAGAAAACCAAATAAATATTTAATATAAGGTTTTTGAATAGATATCTCTCATCAGTTCTCCTTTTCGCTTAACGGGCTTTTTTTTTTTTTTTGAAACACGATATACGATGTACGATATTCACTGGCGTTTCGCTGGCAAGCGACCATCTCTAACAAGCTTTGAGCTCACCTGTGGCTTTTGGTGACTGGCCCTCTTCAAGTAGCGCCGTTGGCCCGGTCACAATCAGTATCAATTCGCCCGCGAAAACGGTTAAGTCGTTGAAGCGCGAGAGATTCGATTGCGCTACGTGAGTAGAAGTCGACGAAAGAGAATCAAAGCAGAAATAACAATAACAACAACAACAACCACTACTACTACTACTACTACTTCTACTTCTGCTATTGCAACTACAACAACAAACAGAGCAGCAGCAACAACAGCTACAAATAATTTTACGTGCGCATGCGTCTCACACTTTATCTTCGCAATTCGCCGTCGCCGTCGCCGTCTCCGCCACCGTTGCCGTTGCCTTCGCCGTTTCTGTCTCTCGCGCAGTTCCCACTTATCTTTGTTGTTGATTGATTTCGACTCCAAACATCAGTTCGCCTTTGCGTACGTGTATTTGCATGTGTATGTATGTGTGTATGCATGCGAAATACGTAAAGAAAACAGAAATTGAATCAAATACAATTGAATAAAATAAATTAAATACAATTTAAAGAGCAATAGATAAAAAGTGCACAGCAATAGCAACAAAGCAATAAATAACAAGGGCATTAAAACTTTTGCCAACAACAAACACAAACACACACACACATCACGCATTAACGGATTGTTTATTTAAGCGGTAAGTTGAGGAGCTGTCAAACGCACAATTTGCATGCACAACTGCATGGAAGCCAAAAAGTTTATGCAATGCCTGTGCATGTCAAACTGTGCGGTGCTGATGTCGCACGGCCTTGGCATAGTTTGAAAGTCCTGACAGGCCAACAAATAAATTTAATTAAAATTGTGCCACAAACTGAAATATAATTTTACGAGACCAAAACTAAATTCGGTAATGAATATTAATTATTTTTATTAGATTAATAAAAATAAATTAAATTTAATTGTGTTTAATAATTTGATATATTTTCCAAATGCTTTTCCATATGAAATTACAAGTTTATATAAAAAACATGTAATAGTTATATTAATTTATTACACAATAGAATTGTTTAACGACATTTATATTACATTTATTCAGCTCTGCTACAGTTTGGAAGTTCCGCACAGTTTAAGAAGCCTGCAAATGCGTAAGCTTGCAGATTAAAGCATTGAATTCATGAGAAAATATATTATTAATAAATGTATATTTAAAAGTTAATAATTTTCTTAGAATTGTTAAGGCTCATTCGTTATTTGAATAAATATTAAACATTAATTACAGTTTCGTAAATCTCATTTTAATAGACTTTAAAAATAGCTTAAGCAGCGCTGACTGAAATTATATATTTTAGCATATTTTTTGTGCGCGCACTTAAAATACTTAATTATATATAACTAAATGCAACAAATAGCAAAATGAAATGCATTTTTCAATAACAAAAAAAAAAAACGTTATATATACATATATAACATATTATCTGCTTTTCTGTTAGCTTAATTATTGGCACACGCAACGTGGCTTGGAGTTGTTGTTGCTTTCCATGTTTTAGTTTTTGTGAGCAATCAACCTTAAAAGCCGCACGCTAAATAAACTAAATGTGCAATAAACATTAAACATTTTTTAGCCATAGCAAAATGTGTTGCCCTGTTAACTGTTAACTGCTTTTAATAGCCATAGCCAAACGGCAGCAACAACTTGCATAATCCGTAATTGTTTTGATTTATTTCTGTTACGGCTCCTTATGGCCCGTTTGTTGCGTTGTTAGTGTTGTTAGTGTTGCTAGTGTTATTAGACTTGTTGCCACGTTCATGCACACGCCGCTGCCCAACACTGCCCATGCCTCCTCCAGCACACCCCTTATCCATCTATCTCTCTCGCACATTGCATAAGGCCATTTGCAGCGCGTTTTTTTTTTCAAATGCGACATGCATGCAATTTTATATAGGTTTTGTTTTTTTACCTTTTTTGTTGCTATTATAGAGGGTATTTTAATTATGTCTTGAATTATGTAACGCGTGCATTTGACTTTATAACCTATCTCTATCTATTTTCATGTATATTTTCATCTTAACTTGTTTTTCATGTCATTTATGATGGACTCTAGTTCATATTTACAGACATAAAATGCCAGTCGCACCTGTTAGTGTATTCAAGCGTCGACTTCCTATGATGGAGTAGTTTATTTACAATTCGCTTTTTACTTAACTTGGGGTTTTTTCATGGCGCAGGCGTGCCAGCGCCTCTCCTCGCTGCCCTCCACGTCGCTCTTGGCTGGAATTTCAGCTATGCCTCAGAGCAGGTTTCGTCAACGCTTTTTTTATGTTTTTTATTAATTCACCGGTTTAGTTCACCTGATTTCTTGAGTTGTGCATTTTTGTCGCGTGTATTTCTGGTTTTCCAATGCTTTTCTGTTTCTCTGTGTTTTTTCCCCACTGAGCTCGGCTTTGCCAGTGTTATCAGTCGCACTCGGGCATGGCTCTAGATCTATGCTAATTTAATTTATGCTCTTGGCTTTGGCTAAGCGATCAAGTTTAGTATTTAGCACGTTACCGTTATGGGCCATCACATTTTGGCACATTCCTCTGCATCCGCTTTGGCATGTGCTAATAAAGATACTGAGATAGCTAAATTTCGAAAGATGAAGTCAACAAGTTTTTGCCATCCAGAACGCAATGAATATATTCAAAAATTAACTTCAAATTGATGTGTTTGCTTATGGAAATGGAAGTGACACAATGCTCGCTTATGGTACAAAAAGGCTAACTTTAAATATGCAGCCCAATAGTCACACGTCAGCTGTGTCATTAATTCCAAATATCCAGTTAATAGAGACGCATTACTCAAACCCAATATACTCCTCTCACTTTCATGAGTGCGTATGAAAATAGCTTGTCTAGCTGATAGCAAAGTTAAGCTATAATTGATCTATTCGCACTTCAGTATTTATTGTATCTAGCATTCATGAAATTCTAAATGTTTGCTTATCACGCTTCTCGCTTCCTTTGCCAAATAGACTGACTAATCGCATTGGCCATTAACCTTGTTCCAATCAGCATTACGAAGTACTTCAACTCACTGCTTAGTTGCTCCGTTTCCGGTTATTGGCCCTGACACTTACCAAAAGCCTAAAATACAATTTCACAGCTGATTTCATGCTCTTCTTTTATCTAGATCTTTATTACTTTGCACTGGAATGAACCAGAAACTTAAAAGAAAAAATTTATGCGTAAAATTAGCTGAAAAAACTGTTCAGTTGAACTATAGGAATATTATATTGGATCTATATTATATACATAGATATATATCTATACATATATAATTTTGATGAGGCTTTCTTCAGTGAATTTGCTTGATTTACAAACTAAATAATAATAAATTTAGTTATTTACTGAAATCTTTTATGGCAAGCGCAATCATTATTCAATAATTTTCGAGTACAAAGTTTAAAAAAAATATATATAAATTTCTTAATTTTTGACTGCTATTAATGTTGTTGCGGCTGCTCATAAAGTTCCCATATTTATTCAGTAAAAATTTTGCATTGCATGTAGTTCATTTTGAGTGGCATGTGAACGTCTGAACAATTGCTGAAAGCTGTAAACAATATGCGCTCCAGGCCTAGCTCTCACATAAAAATGGATAGCAGCTCTATAAATATTACAGACACACTCAATTTCCACAAAAGTTTGTTAATTTTACATTATAATATATATATATATATATTTCTCATTTTGCTGCATTGTTAACAAGTCGTTTTTCCTCAGTTTACAGTTATTGGCAATCAATTTTCCACCGTAGTCAAGGTCTTGAGAACTTGAGCTTTATTTCTGTGTAAAAATAACGCTTGCTGCATCGGAAATTATATAAATAAAATCCAAGCTAAGCTCAACTGATCGATGACGCTTAGAAATTTGTACGTTTCGCTTTTGATAAACGCGTTTCGATCCGGGAAACTTTCGAATTTCGTTAGTTATTTCTTTCCTTTATGTTGAAAATATGCATAAATTATACAAAAATATCTGTTTAATTAAGTGGATGGACCATTTCGTCGGCTGCAACGCCCCAAAACAAACGAAAACGAAAGCGAACCACAACCAACAAATACAAAAAATATGATTTTTATAAACGACAAAAAAGCATAGGAAGAGAGAGAGAGAGAGGTGCAGGGAGAGAGACAGGGACAGAGATAGAGAGATGCCAACAAGCTGCTTTTTTAAAGACAGTCAAAGAGGAGACGAGAAACGCCTAAAAAGAGCAGAGCCAAACAAGTACGAAGCCCAACACACACACACACATCGTCAGAAGACAAGCCACAAACTGGTTCTAGAATCAATTTTTATTTTCTCAAGCTCAAACTGAACAAAAAATAAGAATCCCTCGGCAAGCCGAATGCACGAAATATTTTTGAGGCAGCTTCAAAATGAATTTGGTCAACCAACCTCTCAGAACAAGCCAAACCGAAACCAAAACCAAAACCAAAACTGAGCCCAACCAGCAGGCTGTCAGGCAGGCAGGCAAGGCAGGCGGTCAGCCAGCCAGTTTGTGGCATCCAAGCTGTAGATACAGATACGAAAAGTATCTCGTGCCCCTGCCTCTTCCACACAGTCGCAGCTTCTAAGCGACGGACGACGCGTCGCTCTGGGCTCGCAGGCAGACGAGATCTTTACACATTTTATTATTACTTCTTTTGTGGTTGTTGCTGCCCGTTGTTATTGTAGTATGTGCTAAAAGTATCTGCACACTGCCCATGTCGCAAGTTTGGCATGCTATGCGTATGTATCCAAAAGATACGCGCCCGGTACTAACTATTTGCGTCAAGTTTTTGACCACAACAACAACACGACAACACGTCTAACACAAATTGTTATTGTACATTTGTTCTCTTTTGTGTCTTTTAGTTTTTATTTCTTTCTTTTCACAAATTTTCATTGTCGCCGCTTTCAATTTTTAATGTGGTTTTTGTGTAGTCAAAACAGATTGGGTTTTTTAGTGGAACTGTTTTCTGGATTTGATTAACTATCGAACACGCCCAGTTGCCAGGGCAAAAGCATGACTTCACTGTAAATATATATTGTTGACTGGCACTTTTGCCAAGCAGTTGATAGGTAAGTTTTACGAGAACTTATCTAATGACTTCTCATGATCTTCTCTATAGATTTCTCTAAACAGATTTCACAGCGCTTTTCGTGCGAGATTTCGTATATCTTTTTGCCAGATGGTTAATTACTTCTGCCACAAAATGTTTAAAAAGAGAAGAAAAAAGATGCAAAATAAATATAATATAATTAATTTATAAAAATTAACAGCATCAGATATTCGTTATGTAATGCATACGATATTAAACATGAGTAGTATACGATATTCAATATGAGCAGCATAAAATAATCATAATTCAATTTGGCATACGATATTCGACGTGAAAGTCATACGATATTCGCTATGAGTATACACGATATTCAATATGAATAGCATACGGTATTCTATATGAGTGACATTAAATATTGAAGATGAGCGGCAAACGATATTCGATATTCGCGTTTTACAGTATAAGCAGCTGATACGATATTCAATACGCTAAATATATTTTCCCACACCTTTTAATTCCAAAGAATTTTAAACAATTCTTGATATCTATTATTATTCTTAATATCTATTAAATAGAATTTCAAATGGGCAATTCAAACATCCAACTTTATTCC